AAGGCAGACGCTTAACGACTGAGCCACCCAGGCGCCCCTCATTGTTAATTTGTGATTGTCAGTGACATATGCATGCAGGGTGGGTCTGTTCACAACAAATTCATCAGTTTTGTTTGTCTGAGAAAGTATTTCTCTTTCACCTTTGAAGCATAATTTTGCAGGTCACACGATTCTAAGTTGGTGGGTTGTTTTTCTTTAAACACTTCAAATATTTTACTCTGTCCTCTTCTTGCTTGCATGGTTTCTGAGGAGAAGTCACACTAATTCTTATCTTTGTTCCTCTACAGGTAAGCTGATTTTTTCCTTTGGCTTCTTTCAGGATTTTTTTCTTTATCTTTATTTTCTGAAGTTTGAATATGATATGGCCAGAGACAGTTTTTTGTTTTTTATTTGTTTGTTTTTGTGTGTTTGGGCATTTATCCTGTTTGGTGTTTTCTGAGCTTTCTGGATCTGAGGTTTGGTGTATAACATAAATTTTGGGAAATTCTCATTTTTGTTTCAAATATTCCTTCTCTTCCTTTCTCTCTTCTCCTACTGGTATTTCTGTGACATATATATCATTTTTCTATACATAGTTCTTGGATATTCTGTTCTGGTTTTTCATTCTTTTTTTTTTTGCTTTTTAAATTTTTTCAGGTTTCTACTGAGATGTCCTCAAGCTCAGGGATTCTGTCCTCAGATGTGTCCAGTCTACTGATAAGCCCATCAAAGACATTTTTTATTTCGGTTGTGGTGATTTTGATTTCTAGTATTTCCTTTTTATTCTTTCTGAGAATTTCCATCACCCTGCCTACATTATTCATCTGTACTTACATATTGTTTGCTCTTTCCATTGAAGCCCCTACCATATTAATCAGTTTTTTAAATTTTTTGGTCTGATAAGCCAACGTTTCTGCCATACCTGATTCTTGGTCTGATGATTGTTCAGTCTCTTCAAACTGTTTTTTGCCTTTTAGTATGCCTTGTAATTTTGTCTTGATTGCTAGATGTGATGCACTGGGTAAAAACTCTGCTGTAACGGGCCATTAGTAATGTGGTGGGAAGGTGTTGGGGAGGGGGTGCATTTATAGTCCAATGATTAGGTCTCAGTTTTTTAGCCAGCCTGTGCATCTGGACTATGAGCCTCAGAGATGCTGCTTAGTCTGCCTCCCCCACCGGGTGGGATAGTAAGCTGGAGTGGGCCAGAGCTGAGTACTTCCCTTCCTCGAGTCAATCAGGCTCTGATAAAACCCCAGCAGGCTAGGCTCTGGTTAACTAGTTTCTCCTGAGGGCAGGCTTATTAAGAAGAACAGAAAGCTCTGGTGTATTTCAAAATGGTTACCTTTCCCTTCCCCCTGCAGGAAGCATGAGGCCATTTTCCTCCCCTCTTCACTGCGAGCACCGGGTGAAACTCCTGAGGTAAAAGTCACGAAGGTGTACCCCCCCCCCCCAAGGTTTGGACTCTTGGACTTGTCCACACTGAGCCTCCAGCAATTCATCCACTACAGTTCAGGTTTTCTTAACCCGGACTGGTTCATGTGGAGGCTTCTGCTCTGGTAAGTTGTGATTCTCAGAATCTGCCTGCTTGTCTGTATGTTTAGTTTGGGAGCCAGTGGCTTGCCCTGTGACCTCATGTCTCTGATGGATCTAAGTAGAGCTGTTGATTTTTTAGTTTGCTCAGTTTTTAATTTGTTGTTAGAATAGGGTGGCAACTTCTGAGCTCCTTAATCTGCTGTGGTATTTACAGATATACAGTTGACTTGTTGGGATCTTGGAAAAGTGGGACCACAATAGCCTTGGGGGAGAATTGATCCACCTTGGAGATGCTGAAGGAAGCATTAGTTTTGATGGAAGATAGTGCAGACTTTAAAGAAGGATGGCAGAATCTATTTGGGCACCTGAGACCCACATAGGTGGGGCTACGCAGAATTTTTAAAGTCAGGGGTAAGAAATTAGGTTATTTAAATTTTTCTAAGAAGGAGATTTCAGTATGGGATATTAATTCCTCAGCTGAAGCTCGGAAGATATCAGGAGTTCGTAATCCTGAAATCTGGGATTTTTTTATAGCATTGTCTTTGTGTTACTTTGTGTTACCGTGCTGTCATTGTTTGTTAGATTGTTATCGGCTGTCTTGCAAAAGCATGGGGCTACCTTCTCATTGGGGGTGAGTTTCCATATTTGGAAAGAGATTTGAGGCAGTGAAGTCTTTCCTGAGGGTGGGGAATCAATGAGGGAACCCTATGATTACCCCATCCTTGGCACAAAGAGGGTAACCCAGGTGAAGCCCGTAGACTCCCTGAGTTGAGGAGCCCAGGGAGACCAAAGTGGTTAGAGGTCTCAGGACAGATTGCCAGAGAGCGCTAGATAGAATGTCCTATAATATCACTGAAGTTAAAATATCACTGAGAAGTTAAAAAACATACTGTGAATCGAAAGCAACCCCTAAAAACATAAAGAGTTACAGCTGATGAGCCAACAAAAGAGATAAAGTGTAACTGTTATATGTGGGGCGATGATCAGGTGGGGGCTGGCAGTGCGGGTGGTGGAAGGGTTCACCTGAGGCAGAACAAAAGAGATAAGAGTTTACTGAACACACTGCAAGGGAAATGTGGGCAGGAGAGCAGAGGGGAGGCTGTCTGCCAGGACGTCGTGACGGGGGGCTAGAGTTAAGAGGGGAGTGAGGAGGTGTGGGCACACACACAATTTCCCTTTTGCGGTACCTGTGCCCGCTCGTAAGTAGCCCATTGGTGGGCCTATGGCTCTTTCAAGGTGGGTCGCCTGATCGGCCTGTTTGCATTCAGCCCGGTGGCCCCTGTGGGCCCTTGTGCCTTACTCGTGTTTCCGTTGCTCAAGCCTGTTGCCTGAAAGTGGCCTCTATACTATAGGCTGAATATGTGTCCCCCCCCACCCCCGCATCCCCATTACCCAAATTCCTATGTTGAAATCTAACCCCAAATGTGATTATATTAGGAGGCGAGGCCTTGGGGAGGTCCTGAGGGTGGGGCCCTCATCAGTGGAATTTGTCTCTCATAAAAGAGACCCCAGAGAGCTCCCTCCCCCTTCCCACCACGTGAGGACACCATGAGAAGTCCTGAGTCTATAAACCTGGGAACAGGTCCTCCCTAGACACTGAATCTGCTGCCACCTTGATCTTGGACTTCCCAGCCTCCAGAACTGTGAGAAATGATTGCTGTTTATAAGCTGCCCTGTCTACGGTATTCTGTTTTAACAGCCTGATGGTCTAAGGCAGGAATCATTAAAAAATATATATATATATTTTTTCAATCTAAAAACGGCAGGGAAATATGGAAAGGAGAATAAAAAGCAAATAGGACAAACAGAAACCAAATAGCAAGATGAGAGATTTAAACCCAAATATATTAATGACCATATTAAATGTGAATGGTCTTTGTATGATTTTATACGATTACACAGAGGCAGAATTATATGGAAGAATAGGTACTAGGCTATTTACATTTGTTATTTGGGAATACGGGGGCAGGGGTGTTAGCGTTCTCTATTTGTATTGTTTGGTTTGTTACACCATACGTTTTTCAAATAAATTGAAAAACATGAGAATCTATAATCAGAGCAGTTAGATCCCCTTGTCTCCAGCTCTATCCAGCATATCTGGCTAGTTATTACTGCTTATCATTTCCAATCCCATCCCTAGAAGATTAAATTTTGTCCTCTGGTGAAATGGAGAAAATAAATAAAATTCAACACTATCTACAGTCTAACTCGATGAGGTGGGGGGAGCCTCATGGTTAATATCACCGTCTGCCTCACTCGTTTGGCTGGCATTCTCCATGACATCCTGCAAGCTCTCTTATCTCCTATGGCAGAGACTGCTCATTACCTCCCAATATCTGTTCTCCGCTCCTAAAGTAATAAATCCTCAATTTTTAGCTGGGAACATTCCCCTCCCAGAATAAAGACTTCATTTCCCAGTCTTCTCCGTAGATAGGAGGGGTCATATGACTGAGACCTGCCCAATGGGGTGTGTGCAGAAGTGACTTGTGCCTCCTCTTTTGGATTGTGCCCTAAAAGAAAGCTCATTCTATGCACTTCCTTTTCCTTCTAACTGCTGAGTGAGGGACAGAGGTGGGGTTGGCCATCTTGGGAGGGTAGAGGAGTAATCTAGAAGGAGCTCAGTTTTCTAACTCCCTTGGAGCTGCCCAGAGGGGCGTATGAGGAAAAAAAAAAAATCATCTATGATTTTTTTAAGGCACTCTTGTTTTGGCATCTTTATTTACAGGAGTTTTAGCCACATCCTAAATAATGTAGCTCTGTCCATTTTTCGTTCTTTTGTAATTAGCATCGGAATGCTCCTGAATGGAGTGCTCCCATTTATTTTGTTAAAGATTTTATTTATTTATTTATTTATTTATTTATTTATTTATTTATTTGAGGTGGGGAGGGTGGGGCAGAGGGAGAGAATCTCAAGCAGACTCCGTGCTCAGTGCAGAGTCCCAGGTGGGGCTCAATCTCACGACTCTGAGATCATGACTGGAACCAAAATCAAGAGTCAGATGCTGAACTGATTGAGCCACCCAGGTGCCCCTGCTCCCATTTATTTTAGTTTCCTTGTAATCTTAATATTAGAAGATAACTGTAAGACTTTCCTTTTTCTCTCTCATCAGAGAAGAAAAGAAAAAAAACTGAATTCATAAACAAATCTAAAGCCTTGTCTTTGGGGCGGGGGGGGGGAATAAACAAGTGATAAATCTCTGGTTGGGCTAATCAATACAAAAGAGATACCAATTCTGGGAAAACTCTCTAAAAATAGATCTGGACATTTAAAGTATTAGAAGATAACCGTAAGACTTTTATTCTCTCTCTCACCAGAGAAGAAAAAAATTGAATTCATAAACAAATCTAAAGCCTAGTCTTTGGGGAAAAAAATAAGTGATAAATCTCTGGTTGTGCTAATCAATACAAAAGAGATACCAATTCTGGGAAAACTCTCTAAAAATAGATCTGGACATTTAAAGTAATAGCCTTAATAAAAAAAAAAAACTTCGTAAAAAACTTAAATACTGAATTAAAGAACAATTTGGAAAAAATATAGATTACCAAAATCAGTTTAACAGGAAGAACAAAGTAAAAGACATGAAATCCCAAGAGAATTATCCTGTAAAAGTTTCTACACTCAGAAGGTTCACAAATGAATCTTTCTAAATGTTTTTTAACAGGATAATTTCTACTGTTGGTAACTTTCTCTAGAACAAAAGCTATAAAGCTTTGCAGAATCTGCAAAGGACTCAAATCCCCGATGCCCAAACCTGACACAGGAAATAGATACAAAAGGAGAAGCAACCTCATGTTACAAAACAATAGGATTACTTTTTTTTTTTTTCAAAAAAGAGCATGAACTGAATCTAGCAGTAAAAGGCTGTACCCAATAATGCAAAATGAATTCATTGATAAGAAGCTTACTATTCAAATATATTAAGTTAAAATTTAAATTTATATCCTTTTAGTAGATTTTTTTAAAAAGTCACATGATAAAGTTCATTGCCCCTGACCTCTCTCTCACACACAGTACACGTATATCCTAAAGAATATCTCTTTTAGGCCGATATCATACTTGGTTATTCAAACTCTATAGACAATTCCAGCAACCTTGTAAAACCTGTACAATTTATTGGCACTATTTTATAACATAGGATATCCCAAAGCATTAAGCTTTAATAACCTTAGCAGTGTAAATGCTACAGGCATATAAAAAGCATCTTAAGCTTTAAATTCCTCTACCTTCACTTGATGAATTTTGAATAATAAATGTTTAATGGCAAACGATGACGGGAATACCACACAAAAAGACTAGCTGGCCAGGATAAACAGAATCTACAGAAAAATACTGACAATTAATTATAGCTCTGAAAATAACCAAATAGAGCAGGCAAAGGCTATTTATTCAGAGCTTGCTATACCAAAGGAGTCAGTCACTGTTCTTTGCGTTTTGGCAGAAACTCAAAGGCAGGCAGGGGAAGGGGAAAGTTTTACAGTGGGGACAAGAGGAGGCTTCCGATGTGCCTTCACTGGAGGCTGGCGGCAGGAGCAGGCTGGAGGCCAGCGGGCTCACTGGAAGTGCGGCAGCCTGTGTGACGGGTTAGGGGTGTATATTCGACTTTTTCTCTGGTTGGTCCTGGGTTAGAAGTGAGGACGAACATTAGGAAAGCCGTCCTGGTTGTTTGGGGCTGACTGTCACAGAAGTGATTGTTCAGCATCCTGGATTGTTGCTGGAGATCGCGATCTGGCTTCCCGTGCTGTTTCCCGCGGACAAGGGAGCTGGTTTCTGGGGAGGTTGTGGTGGTGGCAGGTCAGAGTTCCATCTCCGTACGTGCTCTGGCCGTTGTCACTTGTATGTTCAGTATCTCATATGTATAACTTCAGGACTGCCTTACTCTACCATGAGCTGCAGACATAATATTTAGGCAGGGGCTCCCTGAGAGCTGAGAATTATTTCACGGGTTCCTCCGGAGTGAAAATATTGAGAAAGGCTGCCTCTGATTCCTCATCTGTGAAACGGGGATAACGATACCTACTTCGGGCCAGTCATGAGGACTGAAGGATAGGAGGTTCTTTTTACAAAATCAAGGGCCCGGCATGGAGCCCCTCAGGTAGTAGTAGACTTCTGGGGAGATGGCGTACAGACAGACAAGCCCAGGTTGGCGTCCAAACGGGGGGCCACGGGGAGACAGCCATAACTCACCCCTCAACATGGTGCAGGGCTGGGGACAGCCCGGATCCGATCCGGTGGGAAGCCCCCAGGGCGACTGCCGCCGGCAACAACGTGGGAGAGGATGCGTTCACTCTCAGCCCGCGGGTCCACCGGGGGGCCACCGCGCCATGCCCGCCTGCCCACACCTGCTACTCCGTGGCCGGAAACGCCTGGACCACCGGCCGGAAGTACCTCAGCGTGGAGGCTCCCGGGAATTGTAGTTCCGTCCAGTCCAGGGGCGTCTTGGCTGTGTCTGGAGGTCTCCGAGAGCGGTCTGCGCACTTCCGGACCCCAGGCTGGACTCGCGGTGGTCGGCAGCGCGGACCTGGCCGGTTCTGTGGCCCCCGCGGCATCTAGGACTGGCAATTCCCTCCGCCCGAGCGGTAGAGAGGGCACGTGTGGCACAGCCGCGGCTGCAGAGCTGGCGGACTCTGGGAGGGGTGCTGTGCTCGGGGGGTCCGGTGGGCGGCTCCGTCTGACGTCTGCTGGGGAGGGTCGGGGTTCCTGTCTGGTTTGGGGCGGGGGCCGTGGGCAGGCTGGTCTCACTGCTTTTCTGTCGTCCTGCAGCCGAGCCTCGTCGGAGCCCGCGGTCCGCAGGGGGCTTAGCGCGCTGGACCCAGTGACAGCCTTGGCCCCGGTGAGCTGGGGGCCAGCTCTCCCCCGAATGGTCACCCCTCTTTCCCGACGGTGGATTTGTTTCCGTCCCTTGACCCGGAGCTTCTCTCCCCATCCAGGTCCCTGAACTCCCCTGGCGCGGCGCGGCCTCCTGTGGCCGAGGAGGGACTGCTGAGGAAGAGCCCCCCCCTCCTGTCCGACCCTCCGTCACTCCTTCGGACCCCACATCGCAGCCAACGGTAGGCTCTGAGCTATGAGGGCAAGGAAGGAAGAATGTGAAATGATTGGTATTTCATGGATCTGCGGTGTCGGTCTTCGTCCGACAAACATTTGTTGAGTGTCTGGGTCAGGCACTGGGGAAGCACCGGGTCCCATCCTTGGCTAGAGCCCTATGGAGGTGTCGGTCCCGTGAACAGATAAGGGCCACCAAGGTGTGGGTGCTCTGATAGTTATCCCTACTGGATGAACGCACACCCAGGCGGGAGGGCAGCTTCTGCTGGGGGAGGCGTGACTGAATATCAGACTTGAAATAAGGTCTCCATAGGTGAGGGAGGGGCAAAAGGGTTAGGGGTAGAGAACAGCCTATGCAAAGGTAAGAGGCATGAAACGTGTGGGTACTGCTGGATTTTGCGCCATGGAAGAGCCTGGATGGGGGGTGTGGTGAGGCTGGAGGTGGTTTCGGGGAGCATATCAAGCTGGGCTGGGGGGTATCGACTGGGTCCCATTAGCGCCTGAAGTGTTTTAGGCAAGGCAGTGGTGTGGTGGAATTTGTCTTTGGTGTGAATATTACCAGCAGTGAGTAGAGTTGATGGGGACTGAGCTAAGGTCGTGGGGAAAGTATCTCAGGTTTGTGAAGCCATTCCCGCGCTGGCAAGGGTGAGAGAAGGTGGCGCTGTGGGAGTGCATCCGTTTGCAGACTGTCAGAAGAAGGCAGGAGGTGGACACGGTTCAGTGTAGATGGTTCTTTCCCCACACTCTGTGAGGAGAGAGGGAGCCACAGTGAGTGAGGGTGCCCAGTGATGCAGAGATGGGGATGGATCTTTCTTTGAGGCTTTCAAGATATAGGACAAGCTTGAGCTGGGTGGGGAGGGGGTGAAGCAAAACCGGGACTCTAGTTTTAAGTCTTGATAAGGCTTATCAGTTGTTTCCAGTTTGACTTGGATTTGGGTCTTCTTGAAGGAGGTTTTCTTCTATTACAACCATAATTCTTTCTTAGTGTGTTCAACTAGTGACATTAGAAAAGATCTCCAAGGTACAGCAGACTGAAAAAAGAAGGAAACTTTTTGCAGTCACCATTTAGACTGAGCAGATGTTAAAAGTTTGTTTGCTTCGGATTTTCTAAAGAACTAAAACCTTATAAATACCACTGGAGCTCTTTTAATATCTCCCCCCCCCCCACCCCGTTCCATTTCCCTTCCTCTCTGGGTAACAACTGAGATTGCTTTATTCTTACATGTTATTTACTTACTAGATTGAATGTGGTCATAAACAATATATTGTTTTGTGTGTTCATTACCTTTGCCTGTATTTCTTTGGCTTTTTAAAATTTATTTTTACTATTTTTTTCATATATTCCAGATCCAAATCCATTTATGGCTTATGCACATGGCAAAAATCTTGAATAGATCTTGATTGGGCCTGGTGTTTCCTTGATGGTTAGATTTCTGAGTACCGATCCATTTTAATTAATGTTTAGTGGTGGTGGTTGTTTGTTTTCAGTTTTCTGTTGCTTTGTCAATTTTAGGACTTGATATTTTTCTAGGAAATTGTCCAGTTTAATTTCAGATTTATGGCATTACATTGTCTATAGTGATCTTGTAACTTAAAAACATCTCTGTGTATCTGAAATTGTCTTTTTTCATGTTTAAAAATTGCATCTTTGCCTTCTGTTGCTTTCTTGATCAGTGGTGCCTGAACTTATTAGTTTTAAGTACAAACCAGTTATGTTACTAGTTTTAATCTTTTCGAAGAATTGATTGCAATTTTTTATTTGGGCACAACTTCGTACATAAAGAAGAGTCACAATGGTAGAATAGTACAGAGAATTCCTGAACACCTTTCATCTAAATTTCTCCAGTATGAACATTTTACCACATTTGTGTAGGGAGCTTGAGGGATTTCAGGGCCGATTAAAAAAAAAGATATGGTCATATGACCAGGAGCACGCACAAGCTTTATTTAAGCATGCACGTTAGGGAGAGGTCCCTCGCAGCGTGAGACCATCCAGAGTTTGGGGCTCAGGGGCTGCTTCCCGGAAGGGAGGAGGACAAGGATACCCCTGGGTTTCTCTGGGTCACAGGCGCTTGGGGTCTCTGTGGCCACATGGTGTATTTTTATCTATGGCTTCCAGACGCTGGCTACTGTTGCATGGGGTAGGTAGGCAAAGCAGGCAGGTCTAAATGACTAAAAAACCTGTTTATATTTGGGCTATCTTTGACATGACTGCGTGTGTTAATAGTGGAGTTTGGTGCTGCTGGTCTTTTGAGCTGCTGGCCTCAGCCTGCTAGGGTTCCACGGAGGCCATCATTGGCTCCTTCATATACAACTTGCTTTCTCCCTCTTTTCCTCTCCCCTCCATACATATGCGTGTGGGTACGTACTTCGTGTGCATTTCCCAAAAACAGGGCCATTCTGTCACACAGCCACAGGATAATGATCAAAACCAGGAAATTAGCTTTGATACAGTTGTGCTCTCCACGGATCTTACTCACATTTCACCCATTGTCTAAGGAAGACCCTTTCTAGTTTGAGGAGATCTCAGATCATGCATTGCTTTTTTCCCCCATGTCCTTTGTCATCTTTCCTCTGGAACAACTCCCCAATCTTTCATTGTCTTCAATAGAATAGCAATTTTGAGGAGTCCAGGCCAGTTATTTTGTGAAATATTCCTCAATGGAGGTTTGTCGAATGTCTCACCATGATTAGATTCAGGTAATACATTGGTGTTACGATTTTTTTTTAACCTGTTCTATTATTTTTTTTATTTCCTCTTTTAAAAATCTCTGCTCATACTGGTCTCTTTTACATCTTTTGGGTTTACTCTTTTCTGTACTAGCCTCCTGCGATGAATGTCATTAATTTTCCATTTTTATCTAACGAGTGTCTTAGGGCTGTAATTTTTTTTTAAAAGTATTTTAGGGCTGTATTTTTTTTTTTAAAGTGTGTGTTTGTAACTATGACACAGATTTGATATGTAATATTTTTGCAGTCATTGTTATAAATAATTCTGCATTCTTATAATTTTCCAGTTGTATTGCTTTTTGGTTTAGAGAGTGGCAGGTGGCATCTGTGCAATTTGTTGAGGTTTATTCTTAGCGTTTTGGGGTCAGTTTTTATAACTATCCCAGATGTTCTTAAAAAGAATGTACATTCTCTGATTAGCAAGTACATTCTACTGTCCGATCCCATATGTCGAGCTTTTAAATTGTTATTCAAATGTTGTATACTCTTACTATTTATTTTTTTGTATCTGGAATCTTCGTTTCTAAAAACATGTGCTAGAATCTTTTCACTGTGATAGAGGATTTGTCGGTTCCCCCCGCATGTTTCACGTGCATTTGAGCCACATATGCATCCTGTCCGTGTGCTGGTGCGCGTAGACCCAGGATCGAGTTGGCTTCTGCCCCTTGCTTTGTCTCTGCAATGGGGAGTTCTTTCTTGCTTTTTGTATGTCTCGTATTTTTTTTTTTCTTTTTTAAATGAATGCCGGGCATTGTGTATGGGAGTAGAGACGTCTGCTCCCCTGTCGCTGTGCGCGGGGCTGGGACGCAGGAGGTTGGTTGCTGCAAGACTGGTCAGGAGTAGACAGGCCTGGCATTTGCTGTTGCTCTGGTTCCTACTGTCAGGCCCCGGCTGCTGGCCTCACGTTCCGCTGGCATTGCTCTGTGCTTCGGTGGGCTGGTCACTGTTCCCCGCTGTGACTTTCTCCACGCACTGGTGCTCCTGCTTCTTCCTCAGGGCTGCCTGGGCTAGTGGTGGAGGGCCCTGCGTGTCTGAGTCGTGGGCCTGGGGCCTCCCGCTGTGGCCTAGGACACATGCCTGCCCCCTCACATGGGAGAGGGTTTTTTTCCCCCTTTCCCTGTCAGGAGCCGTAGGTCTTACCCGTGCTCTGAGAGCAACAGGTTTTATTGCCCTTTCCTTTGGCAGTGTAAGGCTTTGTTCCTCAGGAGAGAAGTTTCTGGAAGGATGGGGCTTCCCCGGGTTTCCCACAATGGCAACCACTCTGCTCCTCCAGACCTTCGCTACCCAGGGAGTCTCTCTGTGGTCTCCCGCCCAGCCCTATAAGCCTTCTCCTGAGCCCCCAGTGGAGGGCTGTATCCCAGATTACCACAAATCCAGTGCTTTAAAGCGACACTCACGGTACCTCGCAGCTCTGCACAGTCCAGGGGGACATGACTGGCTGGGGCTCCACTCAGGTCTCCCAAGGCCAGAATCAAAGTGTGGGACAGTGGGTCTCTTTCGCGGGGGGCTCGCAGTAAAGGCTGTTCTAGGCTCATGGGGGTCGGCAGACGTCTGTGTCCGGCGGTTTGAGGCCCCAGGCTCCTGATTCCTGGCTTGCTGTCAGCTGAGGTTTCTCTCAGCTCTGCATGTGGGTTGGTGTGGGGTCCTTCTTGTGTTTCCACTCTCTCCGCCCCTGGTTGGAGGTTAATGTCCTGCTCATGTTCTCACGTGAGTCTCACCATACCATCCATTTATTTGCAGGTGTTCTTAGTGTCTTGGCAAAGTCTTAGAACCAGCCTGGGACAAGGTGGCTCGGCCTGCATATTCCAGCTCCTTTCTACCCCCAGACCGCCTGGAAGCAGGAGCTGAGCCTCCAGCCCATGGTAAGTTCTCAGCAGGAGAGCAGAGCTTTGCCAGTCCTCAAGCCCCAGGCACCCTACCGATAGGATAATAGGATAATTCTCGGAAAGGTGACCCGGGAGCAGCAATCTACTTTGGAAGCAGGGCACCCTCTCTGAGCTCCCCCTCGTAGCTTAGGGCTGAAGCTGGAGGTCCACGCAGTACGGGGCAGCCCCCAGAAAAGCGTCCCTAAAACAGCCGAGGACCCACTTGCTGACAGTGAATTTGGGGGATGCCACCGTATCAGGGGATCATCTAGGATTTGGTTTAGGGGAAGGTTTGCTAGGAGGAGAGGGGATCCCCTGCTTTAGGGTGAGAAACAGGAATGAGGGAAGGGATCCCCATGACTCTCGGAGGACGGCCCCCCGCCCCGATCTCTCTCTACTCAGGTGCATTCACTGTCCCTCTATCCTGGCACCCCCCCACCCCTGCCCCCACTGCCCCACACACCACGGCTTGTGAGACTAGACCCTCCTCGTGTAGTCAAGGCATAGAAGTTGCTTTCTTAACCTAAGAGTATTTCATTTTTCCTTCTCATATTAAAGACGAAAGAAAATGCGCGTGAGAGAGGTGTTCAGAGCCACCCAGCTTACTAGAGGCCAAGCCAGCACTAGCGCCCAGGGCTCCCGTCCGCCAGGCGGGGGCTTCCTCCCGTGCGCCTCAGGTCATCGCTAAAACCCGTCCCTTCCCACCTTCCACCCCTTCAGACCCTCCCACGGATTTCCTCTCCTCCAGGGGAAGGACTCTGATAGGCGGTCATGGAGAGAAAACCCAGTAAGATGATATATGTATATTTTTATGAAATATTGAAATATTGAAGAGTGAGCACATGTTGATTGTCTAAAAAAAAATTAGAAAATGACACTGTGTCAAAGCAAACAGATCCTACCATGCGGAGGTCACCGTTGTTAACAGCTTGTGTGTTTTGTATGGAATTTTTTTCTTTATATGTTTTTACAAAAACCCATTCCACGTGCTGAAATTGGATGTACACAAACAGGAACAGAGTAGAGTGTCCCCTCTGCCCATGGTTTTGGACCCACGCTGTTGGGGCTGCCTTCCTGTCCTCATTTCCCCGGGGCGCCATGACAGAGTACTGCAGACTGGGGCGGCTTGAAGCGCAGAGATGTGATCTTTCTCAGCTCAGGTGCGGGCAGGGCCGGTTCCTTCTGAGGCCATGTTGGGGCACCTCCTCCGGGCCTCTCCCCTGCTTCTGGGGGCTTGCCGGCAGTCCTTGGCATTCCTGCCTTCATCTTGCTTGACGTTCTCCCTGTGCCCCAGTTTCCCCTTTTTACAAGCACGCCAGTCACACTGGGTCAGGGCCCCCTCCACGATCATCTGCAAAGACATTATTTCTGAGTTAGGCCACATTCTGAGACACTGAGGGCTAGGATCCCTGACCTATCTTCTTGGGGAGACAGAGTTCAACCCAGAACACGTCCCTGCCAGGATGAGCTCTCCGGTAACCCAAAGCAGTTCAGTCCCGTGAAGTTGGGATGAAGACCAGTCTCTCCTCGGCTGGTTGCCATTGGTCTAGTGAACAGCTCACGCTCCCGTCCACTTTCGAGCTTCTCCTTCTCCCCGCTGCAGGGCTGCAGGTCTTCATCCCCAGATGGAGGGCGGGTGATCTCTTCTGTCTCTGCCCCTCCTTCACCCCTCCTTCTCCTCGTCGGACAGCTTCTTTCTCCATCAGGGGCAGGGCGGGAGGAGGGCAAAGTAGCACAGACGCCTCCTTGCTTGGTGCTTTTGGTAGTTTGACCTGCCTAGCTGGCCGCCCTCCGTCACGCTGGAGGCCACCTGGTGGCCTTTCGGGGTGCAGAGCCTGTGACATGGGCAGGGGCTCTCTGGCAGACCTCGGTGCCCACGCCCAGCTCCTGGTTCAGTGATCCTGCTTCTCCGTGTCCTTGCTGTAGAGTTCATGCCCACCTACCTTCCTGCCCTCCACGTGCCGCCGGGAACTCGCGCATCCTGGTTCCAGCACACGCAGGCTGTGCAGGGGGCTCCCATTCCTGCCCCCTGTCCTCACCTGGCCACCATGGTGGCCTTTGCCGGCCTCTAACTTCTGAGTTCCTCGGCTGCTGGGGCTCCCGCGTGCACACAGCTTTCCCCGGAGCACCCGCGCCCCGTCTGCTGAACCACCGTGTGCCTGAGAATTTCTGCAGCTGGGCACACAGCCAGCCTGCGGGGGGCGAGGTTATCCCCCCAACTTTTTGCAGGCTCCCTCTGGTTCTCTTGCAACCACCCCTCTTTGGCATGGGAGGGAAGCAGAACCCCACATACACCTTCAGTAGACACCTCTCCTTCTGCTGTTCCTTCTCCAAAGGGAGGCGTCTGTTAGGTTGGGTCTAGCAGCTCCCCCGGAGAATTTGGGGTGTTTGGGAATTTAGCTAAAACTCCAGGCACCTAGGAACATCCCATCCATCTACCTGATACCCATCTGTGAATCATGTGCTTATGGATTACGTATCCTCCTTTTTTTCCTTTTCCCCACTTACTGGTATGGCCAGAAGAGATTTCCATGTCCGATAATTTCTTGTGTGATAGTTTAAATTGATTCATAGCATGGCATGCTTTAATTGTATCAAAATTGATTAACTAATCTCTTATTTTTAAGCACTTAGGTAGTCTCCAATTAAAAACAAAAACACCCTCAGAATTCTTTATGGAGTTACTGTAATTCTAGAGTTTTAGTGTCTCTGCAGACTTCTTGGACCCAACTCCCGTGTGTCTCTATCCTGAGTAGGAACATACCTAAGACCAACCTCGTGTGTGTTCAGGAGAGAGATAGGTGTGGGGTCCAGTTGATGCTTCCAGCCACAGTAAATTTGCTCCTGAACCTTCGTGTTCCTGTTCCTGGCAAAATGAGGAAAGGAGGAGGAGGGCTCAGGAGAAGCCATCAGATCTTGTCCCATATTTGGTAAGTGGCAGAGCCAGACCGGGCCTGCTTCCCGGGCAGAGGTCAGCACAGATCAGCCAGGGTGGCTGTTACTAACAGTGACTGTGGACAGACCACAGCCCCGGGAGGAGGAGCACAGAGAACCCGGCCGGCCCCCGATGGGCCGCAGGGCCCTGCCTCGTCGCCCCCCGCCTGCCGTGGCCGAACTCCATTTAACGGACTCTGACTTAAGGAACCCATTTTTATATTTTCCTGGGAGTCGTCCTCAACGTCTGCCAGGGGCAGGACTGGTGACAAGCTTTGGGTTAGAAGCTCAGTAGACAACAGATGTTTAAAAAATAACATTTATATACGAAGTGCCTGTTTGTCATAGAAAAAGTTAGGAAATTCATCTAAGGACAAAGAGTATTTTAGAAAATGGTCGTGACCCAACTGCCCAGAGCTAACTGCTACTAGCTTTTTGTCTTACATCACTTCAGAGATTGTTCTGCGTGAGTGTGTGTGCGTGCATCTGTGTGTGTGGGATCAAATAGTTTTCAGCCACCTTTTTTCAGTGATGAGTATGTTATCACTAAAATAGTTTTCCATGATTTTATTTTCATTAGCTACCTAACGGTTCGTTTCCCTTTGGAGGTCGTGTGTTTATTTAACTCATCCTCCTTCATTGGATATTTAGTTATTTTCTGTTTTATTTCAGAGTTTTAACAAAATGTAATAAATATCTTGGCGGCTAACTCTTTGCCTAAACTCATGACTGTTTCTTCAGAATAAATTTCTATTAAATTTCTGGGGAATGAGGGGAGGGTTTAGTAAATTGCACACTGATGAGTGAGACACAGATACATATGTGGATTAAGTAGAAAAGAAAAATCCAGATTGAACCCTCACACGGTTGGGTCCCCATCACACGCCAAGGCGAGGTCGTTGTGTGATGGCGGGGTCCTTGGGGGAAGCCTGTCCTCCCCCTGTGCCTGGAGGCGGGGGTGGTGGCAGATGATTCAGAGGCTGGGGGCGAGCTTGGTCTCTCACGTCCTCTCCTCTCCCCACCCCGTCTCTGCTTCCACAGGTGTCTGCTTTTCCCGGCCCATCAGAGAAGGACCATGTGCCAGGTGAGTACGGCATTTCTTTTATTTATTTTTTTAGATATATTTATTTGATAGAGAGCACGAGCAGGAGGAGGGGGAGGGGGAGAGGGAGAGGGAGAAACAGACTCCCTGCTGAGTGGGGAGCCCCACGTGGGGCTCGATCTTACGACCCTGAGATCACGACCTGAGCCGAAATCAAGAGTCAGACACTGAACCGACTGCGCCCCCCAGGCGCCCCGTGGCATTTCTTTGTACTGCACTCTGCTTTACCAGGGGGTTTCGGGGATGCTTCTAAGAATGCATCCAGTAAAAACAATGCACACAGGACCCAGGATCACTGAAGACGGGAAGTGAGTAGAAGGAGGAGGCCGTGCGAAGGGCCGGGCGGGTGGAGTTAGGAGCTGCTCTGTAAACTTGGGTCTGACATTGCCGGCCCTTTCAAAAGACAGGTTCCATCCAATGTATGACTGGTGTTGTCTGCTTGGGACTAGCATGTCCACTTCTCAGAGGAAATAAAGCTGTTTTTGGTATTGAGGAGTTTACGTGACGGGACTTGGCATGTGAGGTTCGCATGCGGGGTCCTCAGTAATGACAATGCCGTGGCAGACGCACCGGCAAATCTCCTGTGACTTTTCTTTCCATATAGACAGTGCGTCTTACATCAGTGCGGAAATCTGTGATCGCGGTTGCTTAAGGAATCAAAGTCCGCGGTTCTGTGTAAACAGCCTTGTGATGTCAGACTGACCTAGAGGAAACACTGCGTTGTGCAGAGGAAGGAACGAGTAGCATGTTCTGCCAATTCTTTTTCATAGTAGTGTTTTGACACAGATGGAGAGTGAACAGCTCAGTTTCAGTCTTTGGCATCTGCCCTTGGCCCCCTTTCTTACGGGGCCACTGTGATCTTCAGATTTCAGTGACGTCGTCTGCTCCCAGCCTGTCTTCATTCTCAAACTAGTTGTGACGGGCCCCTCTCTTTACCCCGGGCCCAGGAACTCATGAACGGGAAGTGTGCCGGCCAGAATCCACATTTCAAGAGCCAGAAACCCAGCTAGAACTAGTTGAGGGTGAGCCCCAAATCTAGGCAGTACCCGGACCATGGGAGGAGCAGGTATGCAGCTGGGACTCAGAAACAGCCCGGAGTCTTTCCAGTCCCTTGCCTCTGCGTCCGTAACTTCCTTCTCTCATACTGACGTCATCCATGGGGCCAGAAGTAGGCGTGGCCCACAACCCCACACTTATGAGTCCTGCCAGAGATAGGGACCAAGTCCCCTCTCGTAGAGCCCATTTGCACGGTCTTTGGGAGAGATTCAGATTAGCCCAGCTTAGTGCATGTCTAGGGCGGAGAGGCAGGGTCTGGGCTTGGGGTGCTGGAGGGAGCCTGCTTGCCGAGGAGGAAGCCGAGGCCTCATGGATGGATGTTACAGCTGTTCACTCCAGGAAGAAAAATGTTCTCAGGATCTTGGTTTCTGGCTTGGAGACCTATCTTAATGAGAGTGTCTGTGCCTAAAAAAGCCGGGACCATCTGGGCATAGGACCAGTATGAGAGGGTTGGAAACGAGGTGGCAGCTCCATGGCCTTCCCAGAGGAGAGAGCTGCCTGCATCTCTAGGCTGTCGGACCCGTACTCGGGCTGGAGGTTTCATCTGTGCCTTTTGGGGAAGCTGTTGTTTTGCAGGAAACTAAGCCTCACTGTGACCTGCTCCTCAGGGCCACCCGCAACAGAAACGCTGGCAATAAAAGTTACAAAGCTCCACCTGTTGAGCGCTTATGTGCTGGTCTCTGCGTTTTCCATAGGTTATTTCACGAATGAACCTGTGAGACAGGTATTCTTAGCCCCTCCTCCTGCTTTACAGATGGACAGACAGAGGCTGGAGATACTAAGCAAGTTGCCTGGAATCTCACGTCTATCAGGCGATGGAGTTGGGATGTGAATGTGGACAGACAGGCAGGCCTAGAAGTGCCTGTTCAGTCACCCTGAGTGATTGAACTGCACTGTACTTTTATCTGCCCTACACATAGCCCCAGCAGAGGAACCCAGCAGTGCTCTGCTGTCGAATATGGCAGCCGGCAGCCCCAGGTGGATACTGAGCACCTGAAGAGTGGCTAGTGGTGCAGGGGACCTGAATTTTTCATTTCCACTTACATTTTATTATTATTTTTTAAAGATTTATCTATTTATCCGAGAGAGAGGGAGAGAGAAACCCAAGCAGACGCCACGCTGAGTGTGGAGCATGGAGCCCGACATGGGACTTGAACCCATGACCCTGAGATGAGACCTGAGCTGAAACCTAAGAGTTGGACGCTCCACTGTGTTGACTGTGCCACCCAGGCGCCCCTCCACTTAAAGTTTAAAACGGAATCAGAGTAAAATACTTCCCCATCAAAGACAAGTTTATTGTTTTTATAGGACATTTCATGAAAGTGAAATTGGAAATGCAGTGTCTGAATTGAGATGTACTGTAAAGTGGAAAGTACCCAACAGGTTTCAAATATATGGTGTGAAAAAGAATGAAAAGTATATCAGTAATTTTAAAATAATTCTATATTGAAATGATAATACTCTGGATATATTAGACTAAAAGTTCTTATTAAAATTAATTCATTTCCTTTTTTACTTAAAAGGTGACTAGAAAATTCTGTTTTTTAAACCATTCTATTGAGGTATTATTATTATTTTTTTTAAAGATTTTATTTATTTATTTGACAGAGAGAGAGATAGCGAGAGCAGGAACACAAGCAGGGGGAGTGGGAGGGGGAGAAGCAGGCTTCCCGCCGAGCAGGGAGCCCGATGTGGGACCCGATCCCAGGACCCTGGGATCATGACCTGAGCCGAAGGTATTGAGGTATTATTGACATGCAAACGGGGCACAGCTGGATGAGTTTAGAGATAAGTGTACATCTATGAAACCATCACCACGGACTTGAATCCATCACCTGCGAAAGTTTCCTCCAGCCCCCTTTTTAAATGTATTTTTTTCTTTTTGTGGCAGGAGCATTTAACATAAGATATGCCCTCTTAGCAAATTTCTAAGTATACAATGCAGGGTGGTTAACTATAGACACTATGCTGTACAGCAGATCTTCAGAACTTCCCCATCTTCCATAGCAAACATTGAACCCCTAACCAACACCTTCCCATTTCCCTGCCCCTCCCAGCCCCCGGTACCCACCACGCTACTCTCTAGTTCTAGGAGTTTGGCCATTTTAGAGTCCTCATAAAAGTGAGGCCATGCAGTACCTGTCCTCCTGTGTCTGATTTATTTCATTCAGCATAATGTCCTCCAGGTTCATCCGTGTTGTCCAAAATGAAGGGATTTCCTTCTCTCTCGTGGCCAGTATTCCATAGTATGTATACACCACATCATCTGTTCATCCACTGATGGACACTTAGGTGGTTTCCATCTCTAAGTTACCGTGAATGCTGCTGCAAGGACCATGAGAATACAGAAACCTCTTTGAGACCCACATTCAATAAGATCACATCATCTTCGAGCACAGATACATTTACTTCTTCCTTCCTGATTTGGATGCCTTTTATTTCTCTCTCTTGCCGGATTGCTCTGGCTGGACTTCTGGTACTGTGTTGAATAGGAGAGGCAAGAACAGGCACCGTTGCCTTGTTCCAGGTCTTAGAGGGAAAGCTTCCACCACAGAGTATGATGTTAGCTCTGGGCTTTTCATAAATGGCCTTTATCGTGTTGAGATAAGTTCTGTTTTTGCTAAGAGCTTTTAATCGTGAAAGGGTGTTGAGGTTTGCAAAATGCTTTTTATGCAGCTATTAAGCTGATTTTGTGATCTTTATCCTTTATTCTGTCAATGTGGTGTCTCACATGGATTTTCATGTGTTGAACCATCCTTGCATCCCAGGGATAAATCCTACTTGGTCATGGGGTCTGACCCTTTTACTGTGCTGTTGAATTTGATGTGCTAATATATTGTTGAGGGGTTTTGCATCTATGTTTATCAGGGTTATTGGCCTATAGTCTTCTTTTGTGTGATGTCTTTAGTTTTGGTATCAGAGTGATGCTGGCCTCGTTGAGTGAATTTGGAAGTGTTCCCTCTTTTTCTGTTTTTTGGAAAGAATTTAAGAAGGATTGGTATTATTGTTTAAATTTTTGGTAGAATTCACTCATGAAGATCCTGGGCTTTTCTGTTAAGAGTTTTTAGTTACTTCTTCATTCTTTTTATGTGTTACTGGTGTGCTCAGGCTTTCTGTATCTTCTTGATTCAGTATTGGTGGTTGTATTTTTTTTTTTTTTAGAATTGTGTTTATTTTTTCTAGGTTGTCCAATTAGTTGGCATTGAACTGTATATCATAGTTCTTTTTTATTTCTGTGGCATCAACTGTAATGTCCCCTCTTTCACATCTGATTTTATTTATTCCAGTCTTCTTTTTTTTTTCTTAGTCTAGCTAAGGGTTTGCCAATTTTATCATTTCAAAAAACCAACTCTTAAGTTTTATTTTTTTCTATTATTTTTCTATTCTCTATTTCATTTATTTCTGCTCTAATCTTTATTATTTCCTTCTGCCAATTTGGGGCTTAGTTTGTTCTTTTTCTAGAGGTGCAAAGTTAGATTGTTTATTTGAGGTCTTTTTTCTTTTTTAACGTAGGTGTTCATTTCTACAAAATTCCCTCTTAGTACTGCTTTTGCTGTATCCCTTAAGTTTTGGTCTCTTGTGTTTTCATTTGTCTTAAGATAATATTTTATAATTTGCTTTTTGATTTCTACTGTGACCCAATGATGTCTAAGAATATATTAATTTCCAATATTTTTGAGTTTTCCCCTTTCTATTATTGATTTCTAGTTTCATTTCATTGTGATTAGAAAAGATACTTGGAATGACTTTAGTCTTCTTAAGTTTGTTAAGACTTGTCTTGTGACCTAGCTTATGATCCATCCTGGAGAACATTCTGTGTGCTCTTGACAAGAGTGAGTATTCTGCTGCTGTTGGGTAGAAGGTTCCGTAAATATCTTTTAAGACCATTTGGTCTGTCATGTTGCTCATTTCTGCTGTTTTCTTGTTGATGTTCTGTCTAGACAATCTATCCATTATTGAGAGTGGGCTATTTAAGTCTCTTATTAGTATTGTAATATTTTCTGTTTCTCCCTTGTGATTTGTCAATGTTTGCTTTATATGTTTATGGCCTTTGATGTTGGGTGCATATGTATTTTAAAATGTTATATCTTCCTGTTGAATGGACCCTTTCTTAACTATAAAAGGACTTTCTTTGTCTCTTGTGACAGTACTTGACCTAAAGGCTATTTTGTCTGATGCAAGTATAGCCAGACCAGCTCTCTTTCGATTACCTTTGCATGGCATGGAGTGTCTTTCTTCACCCCTTCACTTTTACCCAATATGTGTCCTGAAGTCTAAAGTGAGTCTCTTGTGGATAGCATATAATTGGGTCTTGTTTTTTTTACCCTTTCAGCCACTCTGTGTTTTAATTTCGGAGTTGAGTTTATTTACATTTAAAGTAATTGCCAGGGCGCCTGGGTGGCTCAGTTGGTTAAGCGACTGCCTTCGGCTCAGGTCATGATCCTGGAGTCCTGGGATCGAGTCCCGCGTCGGGCTCCCTGCTCAGCGGGGAATCTGCTTCTCCCTCTGACCCTCCTCCCTCTCGTGCTCTCTGTCTCTCATTTTCTCTCTCGCAAATAAATAAAATCTTAAAAAAATAAAAAAATAAAGTAATTGCCAGTAGGTAAAGGCTTACTGTTGCCACTTTGTTCATCGTTTTCTGTTCTGTAGTTTCTTTGTTCCTCTCTTCCTCTCTTGTCTTTATTGTGGTTTGAGGATTTCTTGTAGTGATATGTTTTGATTCTTTCCTCTTTGTTTTTGTGTATCTATTATAGATTTTTTTGGTGTGGTTACCATGAGGCTTGCACTAAATATTTTATAGTTTTAGCCGTCTCTTTTAGCCTGATAACTTCAATCACATATGGCAACTCTACACTTTACTTCCTCACACATTCATACTTTGTTATTTAGGTCAGATTTTACTTTTATATTGTTTCCATTAATCTGATTATAGTTACTTTTACGTTTTTGCCTTTTAACTTCCATACTTGTGTTAAAAATGATTTACACACTGTTACAGTATTACTACATTCAATATAAATTAATTTGTTTTGGTCCTTAATTCATACAGAGAGAGAGAAGATGAAGGAGGAGGGGAAAGAGAGCCAAGCCCTGTTCTGCATTTGTGGAATCCTTTCTGTTTTCCTCTTGTTGCTACCTTAATTTTGACCATATCTCATGTCATTGATTATAATTGTGTCCCAACAATATTTACTTACTCTCTCCCAGTGATTCCCTACCTTTTTCTACATCTCATCATCTCTTGTAGCTCCCCTCCTTAAATACTGTGATGGGAGTCCCCATTGCCTTATAGGAGAAAAACCCTTTGTCTTGTGATCTGCACGCTCTCTCTATTCTCTCTCACTCTCTCACACACATACACACACATTATATTCTACATTGTCATTCCCAAGTATTTGCAATTCCTACCAGATTTTTTTTGTGACTCCTTGCCTTTGCTCATGCCATGCCTCTTGATAGAAAATATCCTTCGGACATCAGGACATGCTGTTGATCTTTCACGATTCTGCTCAAAGGCAGCCTCCAGTGAAGCTTAACTTGACATCAGGACATTGAATTTGACTGCTGTCTTTGTGTCTGTTCTGTCCTTAATATACTTCCGTCATAGCCTCTGGTGTAATCATACCATATGGAAGTCTTATGTTTATCTCGCTCCACCAGACTCCAAATGCCTTTAGAGCAGGAATAATGTTGCGTTCAGCTTTCAACCCCAAGCACCAGGTGGAATGCCATTAACCTACCAAATCTTCTATAGATGTTCACGCACTGAATGAATGAATGGATGAATAAATAGAGATCCAGAAGTGAGATCTATTCTAATGATCTTTTTCTTCTCTTCCATAAAATGTAGTACAGAGTTAGGGGCATGCTAAGCTTCCTAAATCACTTAACATGGGGAAACCTGACATCGAAGGTGGTAAGATCCACCGCCTCTACACCTTTGCCATGGTACTCTGTGCCGAGCATTCCAGATTAATCAGGAACATGTTGTTCCAGGGGTCACTGTCATTCAGAGACGTGGCCGTGGGCTTCACCCGGAAGGAATGGCAGCAGCTGGACCCCACACAGAGGACGCTGTACCGGGACGTGATGCTGGAGAACTACAGCCACCTGGTCTCAGTGGGTGAGGAGAGCTTCCCGTGTTTCCCGATTCTGTCTGAGCTCCTTTCTTTTCTCAGTTATGCAAAACCTCTCAAGGACTAAGCATGTTTGGCCTTGGGTTTCAGTTGTCAACAAGTCTGGCTCTCATCTCACCCAAATTATTTGTGAATTTATCTCCCAAGTGAGATACCCATTCTTCAGCCGAGATGTAAATGTTCGTTGAGCCACCCGAACCTTCTGCTTCCTTAGATGGCCCAAGTGGCTCAGCATAAATCCTCATAACCAGGGATATTTCTCATCAACAGGGTGTCAAGTTACCAAGCCAGCTGTGATCTCCAGGTTGGAGCAAGGGCAAGAACCATGGATGGAGGAGGAAGAAATCCTCAGATGGAGCTTTCCAGGTGAGAGAGGAGCAGCTTGCAGCCGGGGGGACCCCGGGCGGCAGGGCGGCGGGGGAGGCAGTGGACATCCAGTTGGTCACAGAGCAGAATTTCAGGTGGGTTTTTGTTTCAGGCCTTGGATCTTTGCAACCAGCTGTGGACGTTTGGCCTGAGACCTTGAGTTGCCCCAAATGACTCTTGCTACCTACACACATCACACATCACTACATGATCACTCTCCTTTCCCTGGGTTTTAGAGAAAGACCTATTTTTATTTATTCTTTTATTTGACTCGACTGTCCCCATCTGAGACCTTGCTTGTTCAGTTTTTCTCTAGAATCTTCAGTCTGATTTCTCCCATGGTTATGAAACAGACTTTCCCATGTTTTCAGGGATTTGTAGATTGCCCCTATTTTATTTTATTTATTTTTTAAAGATTTTATTTATTTGACAGAGAGAGGGAACACAAGCAGAGGGAGTGGGAGAGGGAGAAGCAGGCTTCCCGCTGAGCAGGGAGCCCGATGCGGGGCTCGATCCCAGGACGCTGGGATCATGACCTGAGCCGAAGGCAGATGATTAATGACTGAGCCACCCAGGCGCCCCTGCCCCTATTTTAAAATAACTTATTTTGTGCCCCTCATTTTTATTTTTGTTGTCTTTTCTTTTACTGTGAAATGCCTCAAAAACTTAATTTCTCCCTTTTATGTGACTTTAAATGCCTCTTCTTTCAAAACATGTAATATGGCCCCATTTGGCTTAATAGGTCAAAAATGAAACTCCTTTCTTCCCACCCCAGTATAATCCCATGGGGAGAAGAGCGTTTATCTTATTTGTCCTTATTCTGTGGGACACACATCGTGGACACTGACTAACTCCCTCTTCCTTCCAGGACCTTTTATCCTTCCAGGGTCATTTATTAAGCATTTGTTTCAGGGACATTGTTACTAATCAGGGGTGCACACCAGAATCACTTGGAGAGCTTTAAAAACACCCCCTAGCTGGGTCCCAACCCGGAACACCCTGGTGTAGGCAGGGCGGAAGATCAGTAGGCTTGATTTTGTCCCTTAGGAATTCAGCTATGGGACTCAAGGAACTTCAACATTTCTAAACCGAGGGGCTCCTTGGTTGCTTTGGTTGTGGGTGTGAGAGGTGAAACACAGGTATAGTTTGTCGTTTAAAACGTAAAAGAAGCTAAAAGCAAATGAGGATCCAAGCACGGGATGCCGAATCTGACATTTAAGAATCTCAGCGTGTTTACCACAGTGATGTGGACAGCAACATGCCCACTATCTTTCCAGTTTTTCTCTCACTCCCTTTTACTTGTGTGTCTTCACCTTCTTCCCATTTGACTGTGTCATACTCGTTAATAGCAAAGCTACTTATATTTATTGTCCATGTTTTATCCCTCTTTCCAGTATCCCATTTTTTCCTTTCAAATGCCAAGGGATGGGGCGCCTGGGTGGCTCAGGCGGTTGGGCATCCAACTCTTGATTTCAGCTTGGGTTGTGAGATCGAGCCCTGTGTTGGGCTCTGTGCTCGGTGCGGAGTCTGCTTGGGATTCTCTCTCCCTCTGGCTCTCCCACTCATGCTTACTTGCTCTCTAAAATAAATAAGTGAATCTTTAAAAAAAAAAAAAAAAGCTAAGGGACTAGGACGTATTTGTAGTAGGCTTATGATTGTGATGATTGATTCTCAGCAATGAGGTCTGAAACCACAAAGTTAATCTTCCTCCTGAGTGTTTCTGAAATCATTTAGTTCTGTGACGTGATCCTGGAAAGATTAATAAGTTTGTGTCATTTTTTTTTTTCCCTAGAAGAAATTTTGCAAGTTGACCGCCCAGTAGGTACACAACAGGAATACCAAGACAAACTTCTGAGGCACGTTGCATTCCTAGACAAGCAAGAACCAACCAAGAAAGGGCGCCACGAGTGTAAAACAATTGAAAAGACAGTCTGTCAGGACACAAACCTTGCTCCTTCAAAACAGCAAGTACATACATGTGACTCGTGTGGAATGAGTCTGCCGTGCAACGTGGATGTTAGCCCCAATGCCTACCTTGCGAGAAGGAGATTTGAGTGTGACGGACAGGGGAACTTGTTTCTCTACTCCAAGCTTGAAACCCCCCCTTCCGGAAAGCGGCTGCGTGAGTGTGACCGCTGCAGGAAAGCCCTCCACCAGGACCAGGCCCTGAGTGCCCACCGGGGAGCTGGCGGCGCCGAGAGAGCCCACAGGTGCCTGCAGTGTGGGAAAGGCTTCTCCTGCGAATCGGAACTCAGCACACACCTGGGGGTGCACGGGGGCAAGCAGGCCTCCGCGCACGGGGCACAGGGGCTCGGCTGCAGGGTTAGCCGGGGAGGCCACCCCAGAGAGAAACCCGGGGGAGACGGCCGCAGCAGGATGATGCCATCCCAGAAGACGAGCCTGTCGGTGCCCGCTGCAGCTCTTGCCGGAGGGAAGCCCTACAAGTGCTCTGAGTGCGAGAAGATGTTCTCCCACAAGTCCCGCCTCATCGAGCACCACCGGTCTCACACGGGGGAGAAGCCCTACGGCTGCAAAGAGTGTGGGAAGTCTTTCTCGCGCAAGTCGTGCCTCATCATCCACCACCGCATCCACACTGGGGAGAAGCCCTACGGCTGCGGTGAGTGTGGGAAAGCCTTCTTCCAGAAGTCGCACCTCATCCTGCACCAGAGGACTCACACGGGCGAGAAGCCGTACAAGTGCAGCGAGTGTGGGAAAGCCTTCTCGCAGAACTCCTGCCTCATCATACACAAGCGAACTCACATGGGCAAGAAGCCCTACGAGTGCTCCGAGTGTGGGAAGACCTTCTCCCAGAAGGCCAACCTCATCCGCCACCACAGAATCCACACCCGGGAGAAGCTGTATGGGTAAAAGGAGAGCTGGGCTTCAGCCCGAGTCACGGCACATCCGCGAATGTCACACCTCTGGATGTTGTGAGTGTGGACAACCCTTCAGCAGGAAGTCCAGTGCCATGGTGTGCAAGGGATGCATTCCGAGGTGAAATTCGACCAGTCTGGAGAATTAGGAAGAGCCTGTCTCTTAAAACCATGACAGCAGGCTAATGATGCTCTAGAGTGATATATTTTTATAGGCTATGCCTCATTATAAAGTCTATCTGTCTGCATTAACTGTGGCTATGGAGCTTTGAAGTCTGTGAATAAATTAAATCTTTAAGACAACAGGTCTAATAAACATCAGAGCAATCCCAGGGAGCATATAGGGGTTATGTTCCTGAGGATGCTGCCTAGAAAGGATCTGATTTATTTTTAAGCCATGTTGGTAATTGAACATAAGTGTGAGCTTGTTAGGCATGCACACTGGAATATACAGAACGACCTCTATCAGGATGTCTCACGTGAAATTATGCCTTTTTGTCTCTGATGTACACTATACCCAGAACAATAAGAGCTTATTATTAAACCAGGACTCCAGACATCATACCAACATCCCATTCCATTTTTTGTTTACTTGCTGGATCTGAAAACCAGCGATTTCATGACATCTCCTGAGGATCTCTCCACCAACTGGCTCATAATTAGGTTTCATATTGTGTAAGGTTAGAACTCCCTTTTATGGCAAAATGGCGGACCACCTGAGGTGAAAGCCGTTCCACTGTAAACGACCAGAAATGGTGACCAGTAATAGATAACATTCTTTTAAATGGATAGTTCAGCTGGCAAGAAAACCAGTGGAGTCTCCAGGTGCCAGCGAGGTAAGCGGAACGGAGAGCCAGAGATGCAGTTGGAGGGCCAAAGCTGTAGCTGCCCTGTGGGTTTGACTAGGTTTACCCCGAAGCTTGGGTGTTTGAGACCAAAGGAGGACACAAGGCGAGGCCTTGGGGCACACAAGGCAGAGAGTGGGTACTGAAGTAACTTACAAATTCAGAAATTTCAGAGGTCTGTACGTACAGGGAAAGGGGGTGGACTAGCAAAAAATCTCATGCAGAAAGCTTGTCTGTCTCTCCTTTGGGCTCTGATGGGGAAAGATTTACCCCCAATGATTCACGAGCCCTAGCCAGCATCCCGTGTGAGTCAGAATTTGGAATTTCCCCTATTCCTGTCCCAGTTTTAAAACTAACCAGTCAGTATAGAAATTTTCCCTGTCTTTGAAACAAATGACAGAAGCAAACAAAATACATTTTGGAGGGAGACACCCTCAACCCACATTTGTCAGGCTTCTTTTTTTTTTTTTTTTTTTTTAGATTTTATTTATTTTTTAGAGAGCGAGTGAGAGAGAAACAGCATGAGAGGGGAGAGGGTCAGAGGGAGAAGCAGGCTCCCCGCTGAGCCGGGAGCCCGATGTGGGACTCGATCCCAGGACCCTGGGATCATGACCTGAGCCGAAGGCAGTCGCCCAACCAACTGAGCCACCCAGGCGCCCTGTCAGGCTTCTGACATACAAACCCAACATGACTTCATAATCCCAAACTACACAACATGAAGGACCAATCAACAGCGAGAGAGTCAACAGACACTTGAGCAAAATAACATCCAGGATTTTAGGGTCGTGGAAACACAAAATTCTATAAAAATAACTACAAATGATTAAAAGCAAAAACTTAAAACCACATGAAAGCAAGGCACAAAGCCAGATAACTGGTCTCTTTGGAAAGGGGAACACAGAGAAATACAGGCATTGCAACGTGAACATCAAAATGCTGAGCGTAAAGCCCAGCGGTAGGTGATACTCAGCTGCAGAGAAAATGAACAGAGTAGAGCAAAGCAGATTCCTAGGAGTCCGTCTACAGAGAAGCATCTAGATTAAAACGAGAAGAGCAAGCAGGAGTTCCTAAAAGGCAGACTAGAGGAAGACAAGTAAATATTCAAAGAAAACCCTGCTCGGATTTGACAAGACGTGAGCTCACAGATTCAGGCAGCACAGCGTATGCCCAGATGGATAAATGGTAAATTCGCATCTTAGATACACACCTGTCGAGAGCTGGCTAAGCTGCTCCGCCCCCGCGTTGTCTGGCCGAGCGGTCTGTGGGGACCCGACCCTGACACTGGCCCCCCGATTGCAGCCGTGAAGCCGCCAGCGGATGTGGGGTCCCCACGTGGCTTCTCCCACATCTTGCAAGTTGCAGACTCCCCTGCTCGCCAGCGCCTGACGCTCCTTAGCCAAGACCCCCATGGCGTTTACCTAAACCCTGCTTTTTTCTGGTTTGCATTGACCAGCATAGTCCTAGCCTATAGACCCTAATAAAGTCACGTGCCCCAGGTCCAGTCTCTCTCTCTCTGCTTTCTGCCTTGACATCCCGTGTGGCCCCTCCAGGCCTGCTGTGTACTCCTCCCCCCCGGGGCCCTGTGAATAATAAACGTCTCTGTTTCCATTTCTCCTGTGGCCTGCTGTCGAACCCGCTGACCACCTTAACAAGTGTTAGTTTAACATCATAACAACTGGCCACAGGAACAGGTGAGCCGTGCCATCTGGGGGCCCCACGCTTGCTGGCCTCGGTGGGCGCTGGCTTTGCTCTGTGGCTACTGATCATGCAGAGTGCTGCTCCTTTCCATCCCGAAGTGTGAGCTGGGAAAGAAGCAACCAGAGTCCTCCTGGACCTGGGAGGATGGCCACGGGGGCTGCTTTGAGATCCTGCGGGTCTGTCTTCCACCTGTTAACGCCCCGCGGAGGGCGAGTTCCCCCAGCAAGTGTTGGACTTCGAGCGAGCTTCCCCACTCCGAGCACCCGCCCGGCCGAGGCTCTGAGGACCTGCTGCATGGGGTAACGGCCGGGACAGGAGTGGTGACCCTGCCGGGCCCCATGTGCCCTTACAGGCCAGAGAGACTCTCCTTCCCTGCGAGCTGTGCTCACAGGTGGCCCTGGGACTCCCAGTCCCGCCTGGCGCCATAGGGGCCCTTGCGCTCAGGGGAGGCACAGCTCCCTGCAAAGGCAGATGCGGCGGGGCCCGCGCTCCCTCCGTTGCTGTACACCTTGTCCCTTGACCCCGTGGGATATTGCGGGTCCCACCCTTGGCACAGGGTCGCACAGGATCTAGTGGCCTGATGTCAGTGGTCCAAGTGCCACCTACGAGGCCTGAGCAAGTTAGCAACCTCATTGCTAAAGTCAAAGCCCACAGACGTGGCCCTGGGCTGGTCAGCCTGCAGAGTGCCGACACATCAGCACCGGGGGCCTGGGGGTCCGCCTGTCACTGTCACGTTGCTGCAAGTCACTCCTATCCTGGGGAGGCCAACTGGGACACCCCGGAGAGGGAAGTGGCCACGGGGGGACATCCACTGCAGATCTTTCCCGTAAGAGTCTGTAGGGTCAGATGGGGGATGGTAGAGAATCTGACACTGGAGACTATCGCGTGTTTGAAAGCTGCTAAGAGTCCATCTTTGAAGTTCTCATCACAAGGGGGGAAATGTGGCAAATGTGAGATGATGTTAACTATACTTCCTGTGATCATTTTACAGTATGCGCATCTATAGAGTTGTGTTGTACACCTGAAATCCATGTCATGTTACGTGTCACTTATATCTCAATAAATAAATGAAAAAAGAACCCAAAACTCGAAACTGCATGCGTCTCAAGACTCGCCATGTTCTCAAAGCCTTTGTGCAACGGGGGTGGTTAGGAGGGCCGGCCGGCTCTGACCTGCTGCCCGCCCCCAGAGATGCGGCCAGGGGCCCACCGTGCCTAACCGTTCACGGGGACCCAGGGACCCAGGGCTACTGCTGCAGATGCAGGTGCGCCTGCCCCCGCCTGAGATGAACCGGTGACAGCTCAGACCCCAAATCAACCACAGCCACCCCTGCCTTCGCCCCAGGGAGGCCTGTGAGCTGGTCAAATGCAGATGGCTCCTCGGTTGTGGCTCCCACTCTAATGGGGTGCAGCCTGCGTCGCAGGATTGCTCGTGGAGCGCCCCTCCGGAGCCTAACCCCAGCTCCAGAGCCCAGCTGGAACAAAATCAGCCCCACGCACAACCACAGACGGCTGAGCACCGGGTGCCCCTTCAGAATACAAGACTGTCTGCCTGGTGGATTCGGGGAGGGGTGGCGCATCTAGGGCCTCCAGCCAGAACTTCTGTGCACATCGGGACATCCCGTTCACCTCCTAGCACCGGCCTGAGGGAGACACAGTAGGTGGGAAAGCAGGTGGCGTGGGCAGGCGGGCGGGTGGCTGGAAGGACGGAGACCCTGTCACGAGTCGTCTGAGGCAGCTGGTGACCCATTCTTGAAGCTGCGCGTGGCCTGCACATATTCCCTTCTTCCTGGGCTCCGAGGCAGCCCCTGTAGGTGGGCCATTTCCCCACCAAGGGGCCAGGTGGGCAGGATCCACCTGCACTGATTCTGCCTCTCAGAATTCCGGTGTCTGAATGGGACTCTACGGGGCGGGGGGCTGTTTTTCGGAAGAGTTCCCTCCCGCACAATCTGGGACTCGGGCCCTGGTACAATCAGGCCTGCTGAGTTTTCTGAATGCAGTTAGGATGCCAAGTTACAAGCCTGCAGCTTCTGAGGCTCCTTGCATTGATTGGTAAGTTGGGCCCAAGAATTTGCCCCAGCTGAGGTTGTCAGCCCGCTCTGACACTGAGAACAGACCCCAGAGGAGGACTCGGTCTGACAGATTCTTGCCGTTGGTAGGACTCCAGAGCTATGCTATGCCCTGGGCCTGTAGCCCATATGTGAAACCCCCAGAGAACCCAGGAGCTCGTCTATGGTTTGTTCCTCCCATCAAATTCTTATTAAGAACTACCAAGTTCGGGCGCCTGGGTGGCTCAGTTGGTTAAGCGACTGCCTTCGGCTCAGGTCATGATCCTGGAGTCCTGGGATCGAGTCCCACATCGGGCTCCCTGC